TGTCTGTCTGCTCAAAGCTATTCGAAAAAGTGATACATTTTAAACTCTCGTTTCTTGCCAAAAGAATGATTGAGCCCCACCAACCTGGTTTTGTAGCTGGTCGTTCAACGGTCACTAATTTAGCTTCTTTTTCAGAATTTTGTGTTTCTTCCTTCAAAGATGGCTCGCAGGTAGACACCATTTATACGGACTTTTCTAAAGCCTTCGATAAGGTACCACACCTATTATTGCTACACAAGTTGGAGTGCATTGGTGTTCACTCTAATTTCCTAGCTTGGCTAAAGTCTTACCTTACAAATAGGACTCTGTCTGTTCATATCGATGATTGTAAATCTAATCCCTTTGTTGTAACATCAGGTGTACCCCAGGGTAGCATTCTTGGCCCCCTATTGTTTGTCCTGTTTATAAACGATATTAGCTCCTGTTTCAAACACGCCAGTTTTTTATTGTATGCCGATTTAAAACTCTTTCGTAGAATAACCTCCTCATCTGATGTTCTCTTTCTTCAGGAAGATTTAGATCGTCTTTTAAATTGGTGTGAATATAATAAACTGTCTTTGAATGTAAAAAAGTGCTTTAAGATAGCCTTATCTAATGGGTCGATTACGGATAGCAACGCAACCACAGTTCGGTTGCCAGCTGGCAACGCAACTGGAAAGAAAATTTGTATTACGAATGGCAATTATCGTCAGTTGCTGTAGAGTTATCGATAATCGAAATTTGACAGTGCGACAACCAGCAAGCGGCTGTAAACAAGCTGTGCGAGTAAAATTAAATTATTAAAATAAAGAGTTTTAAAGAAGACAGCAATAAAGCTAACTTCATCACAATTATTTATTTTATAGGAAGAGAAGTGCATGAACGCGGCCTCAATCAGGCGACATTTAAAGGATAAATCCAATCCTCTAGAGCTAGCGCGTGCACTGTAAGCAAAAGTTAATGCTTTCAAGGTTTTTCTTTTATTATCGTTTTGTGTTCATTTTCATAGCATATTGAGGACTTCCAAAAGGAGCTGTAGTATAATTGGTTAATAAACAGATGAACCTCTTCGTTCAACTTCAATACCTCCGCTCATAAAAGCTTGCGCACCTCTTCGTTTTTTCGCAGAAGGAAGTGCCACGGCAATGGCTTCAATTTGGAAAACTTGGTGTGTCGGGAGTTTTAAAAGAGGTGCTTCAGTCGATAAAGGAAACAATTTGCAATCAGTGTTCGCTTTTGTTTCGCCAAAGGGCGTACTCCTCAGGAATTAAAATTTCAAGTTATTGTTTTGTTATTTTTACCATATTCTGTAAAAGCAAACTGCATTGCAAAATGTTAGTATCGTTCAAATTATTAAAAAGTTAAATATATGACACACTTTTCAATTTTTGCTCCTAAATACGCTCCAAAAACATTCCTAGCAACCACAAAAATGTAGTCGCCTGTATACACACTTTGTAGCAACTGCAGTTGTCAGTTGAAAGTTGCCAGTTGCTATCTGTAATATCGTTTTGGCAACTAGCAACGCAACTGAAGTTCGATTGCTATCGATAATCGACCCATAAATCTCAAAATACCCTTACTTCAAATTACTACCTCGTAAACCATCAGCTTACTTCTGTCAGTGAATTTGTAGATCTTGATGTTGTGTTTGACTCGAATTTTTCATTTATAAATCATGTTTGTCATTTACTCCCAAAAGTTTATAGTAATTTAGCATTTATTCGTAGATATGCCAAGGATTTTAGAGACCCTTACACTCGGAAAGCATTATTTTATTCCTTAGTACGATCTAAACTTGAGTATGCCTCTATTATATGGAGCCCTATTTATAATTGTCACGCCTCTAGGATTGAGCGAGTTCAAAAGGTGTTTATTCGATTTGCCCTCGCTTCTCTTAACTTCTCAGATCCGATTCCCTCATATTACTCCCGGTGTAAACTAATAAATTTGCTATCATTGGAAAATAGAAGGCGTACCCAATTACTCTTATTCGTCTTCGATCTTATCTCTGGCTCCATTGACTGCCCATCTCTTCTTGAGCAGGTTACCTTTAATGTGCCTCTCAGAACTTTTCGCTCTCACATCCCCTTTTACGTTCCTGCAGTTAAGACTAACTACTCATCTTTTGCGCCTATTTTTCGAGGCCTTGTGGAATTTAACAATATCTCAAAGAGCTTAGATATCGACTTTTCGTTTCCAAGAAGTCTTTTTAAGTGCCGGTTACTCAATGTCTGGTTAACACTGATCTGCGGTTAAACATCGTTATCGACGACTTCGACTCCATGCATATAACGGGGAGTCGGTAACGTCGATAAATATGTTTAACCGGAGATTAGTGTTAACCAGACATTGAGTAACCGGCCCTAAATCATCTCTTGAAACCTATTTTCGTAATTGTACATATACTAGTCACCGTTAATACTTTTAAGCCTACTTCTAGTCTGTAAGATTGTAAATCATATACTGAATAAAGATGAAATATAAAATATAAATATAAACAGCTGCTTGCAGAAGAGCTTTCGCCAAGGTACGTCAGGAGGCATCTCTACGAACTGACGGACGAAGTCCAGAGGTTTATTAAACATAGATAAATTTTTACTAGCAACTATAATCGAAAGACCGCCCGCGAAAACACAGAAATCGAGAAAATTAATTAATGATGGCTTTTACAATCATGCACAGTATATTTTACTTAATTTTTTTTTATAAAATTTTATTATTTAAACCCACGAAAATAACAATCGAAACGTTCTGCGTCAGCAAATTTGCAACTTAGAAAAATGGAACTACGATCGAAATGTAGATTAGGTATAATCGTAAATTTCGAAGATTGATCCAAAGGAAACGGAACGCAGAATACCAAAGTTGCCAAACGGAGAAAATTTCGATTTGAGTCGAAATGCAGAATAGGGCTGATTAATGAAACGATATCATTTTTGTGTGTATTTTAATTTAACATTTGCTTTATAAAACCTCGACAGGTCAGCGCGACCATACTCGTCGAGGAGCCATTTTGAACTGACCTCCTTCTGCGCAGAATTAATTCACACCAACCCAAGCAACCTCTTTGGTTAAGGAATTATGCCGAGGGTGGATCATTGCTTGTGAGAATGCTATGAGTTGAGCGAACTCATTGTTGTTCTGATTCATGAGATTCTGTCTTTTTCTTACCCAGACACGAGATTTGCTCTTCTAGCGGCGTGAATGTATGCATGCTTAAATTTGTTGCGATTCAGTTTGTTGTTCGTGCATTCATGCAGCCCTTTAGTACAAACGTATATCCCTATTATAGGCCATTAACTTAATAAATATTAGATCTTCAGAACTTTTTCAACCGTATAAATTATACAAAAATCATGTGGATATCAGTATACACCCGCTATACATCATATCCGTACATTGGTCCTTCCATGTAAGCTCTATGTTGATCGGGAGAGTTGCGTCGTATTCGACGACCTATAGGCTCTAGATCGGCGTAGCATTTTGGAAATACCCGTTCCACTGCTTCAATCGCTTCAACTTTACCCACATTTCGCACAGCCAAAACTGATTGCAGCGCCTTTGTTTTTACACAATTCTGATAGAAAAAGATAAATATATAGTAAATTTAATATATAAGTACTGTTAACCACCAACCTCATGCGCTTGTTTAATGCCAAATATAGAAGCATCGCCTTGCATCATAGCACTTAAAAAAGAACAATGTGCCAAATTTGCTGCCCTTATTTCAGTACATGCCAAATGGTCAATGTTCCGAAAGTCCAAATCATTGTTGCAGTAATCAAACATATGTATCATTTCATGAGTTAGGACACCCTGAACCATGCCTTCATTTCGTGCCATATTCTGGCATACCACAATTTGATTTAGCATTGGATCATAGCCACCAGTGACGGTCGTATCACACACTTCGCAGGAAATATGCCGCCGCAAGTCGATTGGACAACCTGAACTCCGTAAAGCTCCCATCATTAGCTTTACCAAAGGACTGTTTTTGACGCACCAAAACACGTTTCGTTCACATTTTACCTTATCAATATTTTCTCTTCCCTCCATGCCAAGCAGTATGCGTGACCATTTGGGCTTAAATGTCTCACCTCTTCTTTCAGGATACAAGTCATAACCCCATTCTTTGGTTTTGCTGTTATTACTTACACCATCATCATTTGTTGACCCTGAAGATGTTGCCTTCGTGACCTCAACTGGATCCTCTTCTGGCGCCCCCGCTTCAGCTTTGGTAAACAAACCCATTTCAAAAAGGACCGTCACGAATTCAGTATATTTGACGGAAGTTAAATAACAACGCAAATTAGAGCTGGGATACTATCAATAGTATCGATAGTTGAAAACTGTCCCCATTATCGATGGTTTTTGAAAACTATCGATGTCGATTTAGCGAAACTTCTCTCTTTACATTTCTTAGGGCCGTTTGCACCATGTCTAGTTAATTCTAAAGGCTCTGTTATGCATACTTGGCATTGCTTGAGAGTTGTCACATAAGGAATCTGTTAAATGAGCTTCGCGTGTAAGCTGTTACCCAACGCACAGCATTACATACGTAAAAGTCTGTTGGTTTTTGATTTCTACGTAAAAATGGTATAGCAGTGCATGCAATGCCAAGTATGCATAACAGAGCCTTAACTCCCAGTTAAACATCTTTATCGACGTTATCGACACCCATCATATAACATGTGATCGATAAAGCAGTTAACATTCTTAACTGAAGGATGTACCTCCAGTTAGCGTTAACTAGACATGGTGCAAACGGCCCTTAACATAACATTAATTTTTTTTTATCCAAGATAATTCACGGCTGGGGTTTAGTAGCGCTCACAACTATTTCGGGCTACTCCGTACAAAGGGGTGGCCCGATCCAAAAACTTATAGTCAAGGGTCCACGCATTATTTTAACACTCACTTTTGTAAATTTTGGTCACGGTAAAAGTGCACTTTAGCGAAGGTAGGTCAAAATGGGCGGAAAAAGTTCGAGAGTGGTATCAATCGACGCGTCTTAACGCCAATAATAACAATCCGAGACCGGAAATTAATTTTTTTAATTAATTAATGAGTTATTTGCAAAAAACACTTGCGCTTTCCGCATTATGTTTTGATGAATTTCACGCAAATGAATGGAATAAATGAAGTTAATTTAACACGTATTTATTAGTTGTTATACATTTGTGATGTTTTAAGTGTACACTTTAGCGAAATTCTGAATATTTTTTTTTTTTTTTGGGATTTGAGCAGGTTGGCCGGTTTACAGTGTAAACCACCGCCAGGTCATTCCTCTGATTTCAAATGTAATCATCCCAACTGCTGTGTCCAACGCTGCTCCACTGCTAATTATATGGTAATGCCAGAGGCCAGAACCACATGCAACAGTTTCTGCTTGCTCAAGCTTTTGATCTCTGTTAGTATTGTTGTCGAAATTGCACTATACCCCTTGTCGTCTAGAATGACAGTCCTGCTGTCATCATGTACTTAATGTTGAAGCGATCTGTTCTTTAACAGTTTTTAAATTTATAGCGAAAGGTTGGATGTGTTGAGTTAAATCCAATTTAAGCGCCTGCGATGCAATGAAACTCATTTAAACGAGGAGACTTTGTGACGTGGGACATCCAAATAGTACGAATTGATGATTTTGCCTGGGCATGAATCACGTATGACGACAATCGTCTGGTCGATATCGTGCTGAGATTGTCTTGTTTCATGAAAACCAAAAATTGGTGGATCGTTTGGTCGATATCGTCCACTCAATTCCAGTTTTGCTTCACGTAACAGTAACAGTAGCACGTAACAGCAAAACAAATACATGAATCAGTGTTTTGACGACATCGTTTTGTCAGTATCGTTTCAACGACAATCGTTTGAAAGTTACGTGATTCATGCCCTGGTAGACTGCATCGGGTAGCTGGTTCCATGCAATGGATGGCTCTTATGCCGTAGTTGTGTGATTTACACAAGGCTTGCGTGACTTTGCGCGCGCGGATTGACAGGGTTTGAGCGCAGTGGGTACGGATTGCTGTAACTTAAAAGTTATTGCATACATACATAATAGTTGAAATGAGGGGGTTGATTATGAAAATGATTTTTTTTTTTAAGTTAAAATTGGCTTTTTGAAGAAATTTGGATAGTTGTGTAATCTTGGCATTATTGCTTTCTCTGAAAATGTCTAAAAAGGTTTCGTGGTTCTGAAAAATCTCGTAGCTAGATCGGAGATTCGTGAGCCCTCTACATTGAAAGGTCCGGTGCACATAACCGTCAGTTTGTCCACAAGAGCATTGATTCGTGTCTATTGCTCGAATTTGGTAAAGATAAGCCCTGTCATACGTATGGCCGGATAGTACGCGGTTAAGTCTTTTAACTCCAGCAGGGGGCAGCAGCAGTTTCCTGAACCACGTTGTCTCTTTTCTCATTGGGAAAGTAGAGGCAAAGAGGTTTGGGTGCTCGTCTGAGTAGGCTTTAAAGGTCTCATACCAGTTTGTGAAAAGATCGTTTTTTAGTTGCCTGAGGGCTTCGTCCATGGTAAGTTTACAATTCCTACTGGGACTAGTTGTCGTTGCATTTTTTGCAATTTCGTCCGCCTTTTCGTTCCCTGGTATACCTTTGTGGCTTGGCGTCCACACAATGTCTGTTATAATGTTTAGCTCGGAAAGTTTCCTAATAATTCTGCAGGCAATGCTGTTTGTAGGTTGAGGTTTACCAAGAATTTGACATGAGCTCAGACTGTCCGTGAAAATTATTAATTTTCTGACCCCCTTTCTACTTGCAATTTCGATGGCCTCCTCGATCGCAAGGAGTTCACCGAATGAGGAAGAAGTTTTGAATGGGATATGAAAGGCATGTTCAGATTTGTCCGCAAGGTCATAAACACCACATCCAGTCCTTTGGTCGGACAAGGAAGCGTCAGTGTACATCACCTGGAAATTATCGGTCAGGTAGTTGGTTAATAAGCTGGCATGCTGCGCTCTTACACTTACCGCCGTGGTGGATGCCTTGTTGCCTGTAAAAACTTTGTCGACGATTTTTACATTGGGGGAAAGGGAACACCGGTCAATCTCATCAAGACAGTCAAGAATATGCTGGTATTGTAGATAGACCATCGAGTAGCTTGATTTTATGTTCGGATTTGAGATAATAGAGTCTGAAATCGGGTCCTTGTAGGCAAAGATTTTCACCAGCTCTTTTGCTGTGAGCCATTTTGCACGTTCTGCAGGTGGTAACTCATTTGCAAGGGCGTAAATGATGGGGACAGGAGTTGAAGGAGTGAGACCGAGACACCTTCTTAAGAATTTGTTTTGCAGCACTGATATTTTATTGAAAGCTGTCTTAGAGCTATTAGCGGCCGTAGTGTAACCGTACTCAATTTTTGACCATACCATTGATTTATAGATATTTAAGGCTTTCTGAGGATGTAAACCTGACTTAATATTGGTTAGGTACTTAAAAAATTTAATTTTGCTAGACGCGGCTTGAACAGTAGCGGTATAGTGGCTATTGCTAGTCATTGCCATATTTAAAGTTCTTCCTAAAATTTTGACTTCGTTAACTTGTATCCTACTACTACTAACAAGGATGTCTATTGCCTTTTTCGACCCTTGAGAGATGTGCATAACATTCGTTTTAGAGGGATTGAACATTAAATTGAGACGGTTACATTTCGCTACAAACAGACTCAATTTGGACTGCATATTATTGACTGCTTCCTCAAAATTGTTCCCTGCAGAGATAAGAAAAAAATCGTCTGCAAACTGATAAATGTTGGTGTTGCAGTCGCCCAGATTGTGAAGCTTCGCAGTGTAAATGTTGAAGAGGATGGGGGATAACACACTACCTTGAGGTAGACCGTTTTGAATTTGTGTGACCTTTTCGCCCTGAAGAATTCTGAAAGAAAGGAAATTTATAATCCAGTCAACATAAAGGCTTTCTATGTGCAAGCTCATGAGTTGATTTTTAAGAATATTGACATCAACACAATTGTAGGCATTGGAGACATCATAGGTGCAAAGAATTACTTGCTTTTTGTTACTTTTTTAAAGCTGTATTTGATGGATTAGTTGATTTAAACAAACTGAGGTGGACTTATTTTTCCTGTATGCAAAAGTAGAGTGAGGGAGGATGCTATTCGTTTCAATAAACTCATTTATTCTGTTTTTAACGCACGTGTTTATAGTTTTTAGCATGACCGAAATAAGTGAGATCGGTCTGAAATTTTGGTAGAGACTTAAATCCTTACCCTTTTTAGGTATTGGAACAATCTTGATTGTTCGCCAATGCTAGGGGATCTGATTTGTTAAAAAATTGTCATTAATAGCAGTCCTAAAGGAGTTAATTGTCTGATCCGATAGCGCCTTCAGCATACCATATGAAATTCGATCCACTCCCGCAGCTGTGTCTTTCTTTTTGCTCAGCACCTCCTGAATCTCCTCGTAGGTGATCGCCAGCTCATGACATGGCTGAACAGATTATTGATCTCCTCATTGGACGGTTGTGCGGCAACCTGCTCCTTCAGCATGTCTAAGTATAGCTGGTTGTTTTCTTCGTTCCATAGACCCTTACAATCTTGACTATAATCCCCCCTCAACGACCTCACAAACCGCCAAGCTCCACTACCCATACCCTGATTTATCTCCTCTATTTTGCTATTGAAATTATCCTTTTTTGCTCTTTTTGCCTCCTTCTTCCATGTTTTTTTGTTGCTCGATGAGACTTTCCATGTTTTCCGGACTTGGACATTGCTTGACTTTTTTAAAGGCAATAATGAGAAATCTGTAAACCTTGGCTAAGTCATCATTCCACCAGGCTTTTGGTGATCTATTGTTTTTGGTATTAAAGGTCGCCTTATCGATTTCCTCTTGTATTCTGGACTCCAACGCTTGGACATTTGACTCACACTCGACCCCTCTCAAAGCCTCAAGGAGTTTTCTTTTGGCTGTGAACTTCGTTATGTTTTTCACGATTGCATTCGTTTCCACGATTATAGGGAAGTGGTGACTTCCACCAATATGCGTTTGGTCCACTGACCATTTGCACCGCATAGTGCTGTTAGTGAACGTCAGATCAAGCACAGAGCCACCTGTCGATCTCATGTCCCTTTTATAGGTAAGGCTGCCATCGTTAAGACTATGAAAAAAGGATTGTTGGATGGTGTTAGTCAAATGTTTGCCGCGATTGGAGTCCACACTATCACCCCAGGCCAGGGCTCTAGCGTTGAAATAGCCCATCATAAAAACATTATTAAACGGTTCCAGAAACAGTAATATCCTATCCATTTCATTGTTGAAATCCCTAATACTGAGGTTGGGTGGAAAGTATGCGCTACAGATGACAATA